AGAAATTAAAGAAAATATTGAAACCTTTTCATTTCTACCATGTAATCAATGCATGCCATAGTGCCTTTCAGCACTGTGTTATGTACATCTGGTCATTATTCTTGAAAATCTGGTTCTCCCATTTCATACTTTGAATTCCACTAGACACTGAATCAAGAAGTTGGGTTTTATTAATGATAGAAACATAAGCTCAGTTCTTCTGAAACAGTCACTTATATATTTCCAGGCATTATTATCATACTTTCAGTGACTTATGATGTGTCCTACTCAGATTATTTCTCATCCATCTGTGAATGTGTCCCAATTGAAACCCACTACTTCTGTTTATTAACTTTTTTATTCTAACACAGTTACCTCTTATCTCTTTGAGAGGCAAGTATTTCTTTGTATTTTCTAATATTTGACACTTCTCTACTAATTTTCTCACATTGCAGTTTACACATTCAATATTTTAATCAGTTTCTTGCTTTACTTTTCTAAACAAAAGTAATTAGTCATCAAGGAGGTTACTTTAGCCTGAGAATGGGATGGTGAATGATGAGGGTTCAGCCATGTGGGGAAAACAAGTACTGTATTTTTCCAAGTATAAGACACACTCCCCCCCCCAAAAAAGATGCTGAAAATTTGGGTGCATCTTATACTCTAAATGTAGCTTTTTCAAAGCTTTTTTCAACCCTAATGGGGCGCTAACGAATGAAGTGATCTTTGGTGCTTTGCCTGCTTTTCTCGGTGCTTCTCTCAGACGGTCAGCTGTGCTTTAGAAACTGGTTTTTATCCCCAACCAGGGAATAAAAAGCATGCATGTGTGCACTCAAAATCAGCAAATGTATGTGCTGAGGCTGACTAGATTAAGGATGCTAGCCAGATGAATACCTGGTAGGCAGAATTTCCCCCCTATTTTCCTCCCCCAAAAATTACTCCAGTGCATCTTATGCTCTGAAAAATATGGTAACTTCTTTCTTTGGTGCAGCCAGCCTTTTACAATGTACCCTGTCAATATTGCTAGTGATTTACTAAAAATGAGAGAGAAAAATCTAAAGAAAATGTCTTATTTTCCTTCTATACAACACTATAAACCACAACAGCATTACAAGTATCTTATTCTAGGCAATGCAAACAAAATAAATTAATATAAACTTTCAGAAAGTGAGGCCAGAATTGTCTTCTTGTTGCATCTAAATCTGTCCTGAGTTTATGTGATTGCTAATAGGGCTAATGCAAAAATCACTGAAAGGAATAAGGCAGTTGGAGGATGTACTCACAGATGTTGGAGATGGGGAAGTTTAAACATCTTCTGCGGAATGATTGAAATGCGATTTTTGTTCAGCTTCAAGACTTGAAGTTTGTTAGCCAAGTTGTCAAAAATGCCTGGTTCCAGTGAAACTATCCGATTGTTGCTAATGTGGCTGGGAAAGAAGGTCAGAATAACATATCTAAAAATGTTTAAATTCTGTACTCAAATCCTAATCATCTGCTGTTTTACTCATCAATCTTCATTTTAAAAGACCTTGTCCTATCAGGGGATAGGTATCATTTTGAAAAGTTCTTAAAAGTCAGAGAATCCACCCCATTGATTCCAAAGAATTATAATTTACAATTTACATTAATCTTGAAATGACAGTAATTTAAAAATATTCAACTCAATTTTAAATACTTTAAAAATATTACATCGAAAAATGTGATTCTTTTTCACAGTAGCCTCAAATACCTATTATTTTATTATTTAAATATTGACTCAATTTACAGAACAATAAGAATACTTGGTCAGATAGTTGCCTCTGCCTTTAAAAAAAAGTATCGTAATTAGGATGAAAAGGATTAATGAATGAATCAGTTGAAACAGTCAACAAAGTCCAGTGAATTTTCATTTGATTAAAGTGATGGTTCTCTCTTGAGATTCTGACTGCTGTCCTATACAAGTTGTAATAGACATTCCTGACTCTAAATTGTAGGAATTACATTCACCATTACTTAGTTTGAAGCTATGAGAAAAGACTTCTATGCAAATATAACATCCACTGTGCATAGAGTGAGGATAACATGAACAGAAAACAAAATCTGCACAAGGCACTATCCCCCCCAAAAAAATCTTAATAATAGAGTTGTGTGAATATGTGTGAATATTTTGAATTTGATATTCAATCAAATCTAGCCAGGAGGTGGACAGCATGATTAACAATTAACAAGTTCCAAAAGTGCACTAGTCTGTGTGGGCATTTTTAACATATTTTCTTTAAGGCCAGATTAGCAAAAAAGAAAAAGAAAAAAAAAGCAGAGTGGGGAATCCATACCCACAGAGCTTTTTGTGAAGCACTATGAACCTCTTCGGATGCCAGAGTTCCCTGATTACATTAATGGGATGAAAAGTTTTTTTAAAAGAAAATTTTGGATGAAATGAAAGCTTGAACTTAACTTACAGGTTCTTGAGCACCAGTGGAGGAAATGACCCCATCTCAAGCACAGAAATATTGTTGTTGCTGAGATCTAAAGTTTCGAGGGATTGAAATAATTTCAGTTCTTCAGGCAGAATGTTCATGATCTTGTTATTTATCCTGAATTAAAAATTAGCAATCACATTAAGAACAACTTCTGGACCACTGACAAGTTTTGTATTTCCCAATAGTTTAGTTAAATCATATACATAGGCATGCATAGTATCAACATCATATATTGTTTAGGAAATACTTAAAATTACTAAGTACCAAATAAAGATCTAAAAGTTTTGAAATGGAAGAAAGGAAAGGGAAGAATGCAAGCAAAATAACTATCATAAAATAATTTTGAACTCTGAATCAGAGTTCACTAAAAATAGACTTAAAAGCAATAAAATTAAAGCCATTTTATAAGCAGTAAGTGCTGCATATGAACAGAAAAGAGAATCTACCTGTTTCTGGCCACAATATATTAACATAATACAGTTAAACAAAAATTAGAGAAAGTGAGAGGGAAGAAAACATTTTATTCTAATAAAAACAGGAAAGAAAAGAACAAGAAGTAAAAAAATAAAAAGAAATTGCAAGTATTATGGTAATCAAAGAAATAAGACTTCTCTTGTTTGAATAAGTTACCCAATGATGAAGCAAGTCAAAAATGTAAAAGCCCACTTACAAAAATATGAAATAGTACAAGAAAGACCAAATCAAATTAAAACTCAAGGTAGAACAAATGACAGACAAAAGGGCTATGAGGAAAGAGGAAGGATGACCAGAAGATGAATGTAAATAACATTGTGATATGTAAGGAGAAAATCAAGGAGGAAACCTAAAAAAGAAACTTTATCTAATAGACAAGAGGAAATTATTTATCCCATAATATAAAGATCAGTATACATAGTTGAATTAAATTCAGTTGATATCATATGCTAAATATGATATGAATTTGTGAGAAATCAATAAGAGTATCAGCATAATTGCGATGAGAAACAATCAACAGAAGAAAACAGGCTTATACCATTTACATGATATACAAATATTGGAACAGTATTGCTACAGTATTTGCAGATATCATATTCTAAATTAAATTAAATTATTTGGGGAAAACAAATGAGTTAGAATATCCTGAGGATTACTCCATCAAAGGAAATTATCTTCATTTCTGAACTTTCAATTCAGAGTACTGATATTAGATATCTGATTAACTATTATTGAAATATCCTATCCTTCTTCAGACAGAACTATATTAAAAACAAAAGCTGTATCATTCTCCTCTGCTTGCAACCCTATAAAATGACAACTGCTGAGACAAAAGGAACTTAAAGAGCAGAAACTTAACATGCATATTAGATTCTCTGCAGAACAGAGGAAGAAGCTTGCCCTTCTTTAGCTGTTTAAAAATTGTATCATTTGAAATATTCTGAATACATCAATTTAGAACTCATTTAGAACAAGCTGTTCCTAGTTAAAATAAGATGTCTGGCAAGCATAGCGTCTAAAAAGCATTAAAAGGAAGTTGAAGACTGTTGTTAATTACCACTCAGAATTTTTTTTTGAAACACACATAAACACAAAACAGAAGTTGTGGATTAAATGGTCACAGTAGATAAGAAAACAAGAAATGCTGCTTTTTTATGCTCAGATATTGTTCTTAATCAACATCAGCTTTCAGTCTTGCTTAGGTCTAGTACTTATCCATTAACTTTAATTATTGGCTAGAAAGATTTACTTAACAAAGTATCTTTAAAAAATAACAATGCGTAAGTTAGATTTATTAGCAATCAAGACAAGCAGAGATCACATGTTTATCCTGCCTTAATAAATTGATTACTAACAAGCCACTAAAACTGCAAATGACTAAGTGCAAAATAAAATTTTCCTTGATGTAAAATTAAAACCTTTACCAGCAATTTCCTGAACTTTATGGCTCCTGATTTGCAATGTGAAAAACATTCAGTTAAGCTAACAGAACATACACTTCAGTTTTTGGGTCATCACTGTTTCATAGAACAGGTTTTTCCCACAACTAGATGATAAGGTTGCTTGTATCATGAGGTTTAGCTGTTCTGTAATGACTGCAAGTAGTCCCACCCTCAAATTAGATTAATAGCCTAGCAAATTACTTGAGGCAGTCTGTTTTACAGACAACCTCCATTAGAGTTTTATGTAGGACTGCAAGGAGAGAGTAACAGGTGAGACATTAATTATTTAATTGTATCTCAATGTAGTCCAGACACACACTAATAACTAAGACATACAACATTTTGTTGTATCTGAAAAGGGGCCTGACTTCTCAGGAAAACATTCCTTTATGGGGCAGACTGATGTACCGGTAGTTAGGTTTCCAGATCTCAGGCACATTGTTTGAGTGCAATTAAGTGCTCAGTCATAGCCACTGCTACAAGGATCCACACATAAAAATCAGAACTGCTGTATTTTTTGATGGTTCATTAGTCATTAACATCTCTTACATTAAACAGTGATAGCCAAGCTGATCCATAAGACTCCCCACACACCTCAAATTCTTCATTACAGCAATATTGTTGTATTAAGGTCAACCAAAATAGTGCATACTTCTGAATTCTCCAGTTATTAATGCAGCAAAAAGTTACAAAAAGAGGGAAGAAGAAAAATCAAAATTGCAGTAATGTATTTGAGTCACAAACTCTGCAAACTCAATCTCAAAACTGTGAGCAAACCAAGCAAACCAAGGACATTATGTAGTAATAAGAATTGTTGAAATCAGATTACTTTTACATTCTGAATGTCATCAATCCCCAACATTTTTGGTTTAAGTTTCAATTGCCCCATCCCTATTAAAGCAATTGTAAATAAGACATTACTTACATAACTTTATTTTAATTTGAACTATTTGGGTTTATTTAGACTAACCTCCAAAAGGGAAGGGAAGTTTCAGAATAGAGTGAGCTGGAAGGGATCTTGGAAGTTTTCTAGTCCAACCCCCTGCCCAAGCAGGAGACTCTACCCCATTTCTGACAGATGGCAGTCCAGTGTCTTCTTGAAAGCTTCCAGTGATGAAGCTCCCACAACTTCTGATGGCAAGCTGTTCTATTGGTTGATTGTTCTCACTGTCAGAAAATGTCTCCTTATTTCAAGGTTGAATCTCTCCTTGGTCATTTTCCATCCATTACTCCTTGTCTGGACTTCAGGTGCTTTAGAAAATAGCTTGACCCTCTCCTCTCTGAAGCAGCCCCTCAAATATTGGAACACTGCTATCATGTCTTCCCTTGTCCTTCTCTTCACTAGACTAGCCATGCCCAGTGTAAGATCCCTAAAAGTGATAATGCCATTCAATTGGGAGGAGGGGAGCCTCGGAGTAAAATCACTAGCGTATCTGTAACAACTTAGTTTTACAACTTTACAATTGGTTTCCTGTCACTGGAAGACTGAAGGTCCCAACATCTCTGGAGGAATGTTTATGATAGCCATGTGGGATATCTTACTTTAATGTCTAACTAGAAATAGCCATGGGAACGTGTGTTTTATTGACTCCCAGGGCAGAAGAGTTAAGGAAACATCTTCACATTTGTGTATTGGTTAGAATCTGCATTTGGACAAAGAGGAGGGGTCATTATCAGCTTCATCCCATTTACATTGCCTAAAGCAGTGGTCCCCAACCTTTTTATCGCCGCGGACCAGTCAGCCTTTGATAATTTTACCGTGGCCCGCTGAGCGCGCGCAGGGGTGGGGGGGCGTTGTTCGCGACGACACATTGATTGTTTATATATCAGATTGTATGAGGTCAGGGAAATGTTTGATACTGATCTGGCTGGGTAACTTTAGCCCATTCACTCTATCTAAGCCCCCCCACCTCACAAGGTTGTCGTGGGGGAAATAGGGGGTGGGAGTATTAGGTATCTTCACTACCATATATAAAAGGAGATACTATCT